CCACAGTGCTGTGAGCGGCCGGGAGGATTTACCGCCGCCGCCGCCGCTGCTGCACCTCCAGCCCGCCCGGGACGCTGCCGCCTCCTTCCCACAATGCACCCTGGCGCTCGAGGGTGCCCTCTCTCCTCTCAGCCCTTCTCCTCCCTCTCCTCGCCGGCGACCTTTCCTGCAGGCGAGCATGCGCACACGAGCCGAGCGACCCCGACCGGGCGTGGGCTGGAGGCGGCTGAGCCGGTCGCCTCTGCTTCAGTGCGCACGCGCACAGCCCAATCCGCGCGAGGGAAACTTGCGCATGCGGCCTAGCCTTCCGGACTCCGGAGCGAGCAGAAGCGCGGGCTTCTCCGGTAGGTTTGTAGTTCTTCAGGTCCCCGGGGCGAGTTCCACGTTACGCCACGGCCGCGTCATCCTTTTTGTTTGAGTAGCCGCGGTTTAGGCATCCATTGCATGGATCGCCATAAGCTCTTAGGACCACAGAATCCGCACGACCATGGTGACTGCTTTGCAAACTCCGTGCACGGGTTGGACGCAAACGTGGGTTGTAGAGATAATTTTTCCCAGCGTTGCCTCTCGGTTACTCTATAACCCGGTTAGTGCGAGATTGCCAGCCCCGCATCTCGACTAGACGCTAAGGGCGAAAACTCAGAAAAAGCCGAAACTTCCCTGGTGGCTTCCTGAAGAGCAGGAATAGCGAAATGATTAGGCCAGCAGCACCCTAGAGACTGATACCTCGGGGCTTCTCACCGTCGTGGCCTGATCATGTTCCTGTGTAGCTTAATGCCGAAATGAGTGGTCACTGTCTAGAGCAAACGATTAGTATCAAGTTTTGCGTGAAATTGAACAATTCTGCCAGTGAGACCCACTGTCTTTTGAAAGGGTTTAGGTAGGGCGGGAAGATGGCCTATATATGATGCGTGAAGAGGTCGTCCAGTCACCCACAGGAAGGATGAAAATACCCAGAAGGTCAAGGACTCGGTTTGTTCAAACAGGCAGTTAACGGTGAGAATGCTGCTGAAGGATTAAATTTAGATAAAGAAACCGTTAGTCTCATTCTGAAAGAAAACCTGAACATGAGAAAAATGTCTGCCAAAGTTCCAGCGAGTATTCTGAAGGATGAGCCTGAACTCGAGAAATTTGAATTCTCCTCTGACCATTCATTCAAAAGAAATTGCGAAAAGCCAGCTTATATGTGAGGGAAAGGGTAACAAGGCCTGAGACATGGAGTCCTTTGCAGCAGAAAGCTGGTAGGGAAATGTCTCTCTGCCTGTGTTGAATCCCAGAATCCACGTCCCCGTCCCCACCCCCACCCCCACCCCCTCCAGCCAGCTTCTGCAGGCGTCAGCCTCAGTCAGCAAGCATTTTCCTTAGGGTGGCTCAGGATTGGTTCACATCCTGCTGAAATGAGCCTGAGGTCGCCAGAATCTGACCAGGAAGCTGTCCTCATCTTCTTTTCATCTCTGGCTCCTTCACGCTTGGCAGGATGCATCTACATATAATACTGATCTATGGGGTCCTCTTCCTTGCTGTTCCCAACCTTCATGGAGGGCTTGTGGCTGTTGACTTCTGGTGATAGTTTGTTTTTTATTTCAGCAAAGTGTGGCTCTCTTCAGTGCCTGTAGCTCGACTTGGGGCTACCCTGCACATCCTGCTGTTCCACTGGATCATGCCAGTGAGAAGCGCTGGTCGAAGTCTATTTCTATGTCCATAAAATATTTTCTGAGGGGACCCCAAAAGAAATCCTGCTGTTTCAGCCTGTTTCACAGTCAGGGCCTGAGAAATGTGGTACAGAAGGCAGTGTGCTCTAACCTGAATGACTCAGGGTTGGTCTACAATAGTCACCTCACAGAACTCCCCTTCTCAGACAGGAGAGCTAGGTGTGTCTCATTCTCCTGTACTTTGGACCACCATTCTTTGGGGTGTTCCTTCTGCTAGAAGAGAAGGGTTTGGCCCTAGAACATTTAAGCCATGAGACCCAGGTGAAGGCCGTGATGTCCCATGAAGAGATGAGATGATTCCTCAGGTCTCACATTAAGGGAGTGTGGGATACAGTGCCGATTCACAAACAACATTTATTTAGTAACTGAGGTCAAGTGTGTTTTGAGCATCGATGGTGTGAAGCTCTGTAATGAGATTGCTGAGGATAGGTGGGGTTTACGGAGGAGATGATTTTTAACGATATCTGTGTGAAGAAGGGTGAGAGAAAGGACCAGGAGATGAGAGGATGCACAGGAAGTGGTCCAGCATGAGGCTTGGAACATGTGCAAATAGAAAATGCACTTTTAGAGTTAAAATACTTAGGTCAGGCAGGGGGCAGGTAGTGGTGTTGTAATTGAGGAATTTGAAAACTTTGGTCTTCCTCTCTTCTGCCCTTAATTTTATGCTAGTAGTTTATAAATTGCTACCCCTATGTCTGCAGGTAGGTTTATGATAAACTCCCTTGTTAGAGCAGCTGATTGGGCTCCCCCCCCCCCAAAAGAAAGCAGGCCCTACAAATTTAAACAGTCTCTTCGTACCTCGCTGCCAGAGTTCATGGAATAAATGAAACTTGTCTCAAGAGGGTTGCAAGTACTCCACGTGGGCAGAAAGCATCTTGGAATGCCTAAGGGGGTGCAGAGGGAAGGGAGGCAACAGCATCTCAGCACTGGCCAGTGTCTGCCTTACCCAGGGGTCTGACACTTAGTGACGCCGCTTCTTAACGTAAATAATACAGGTTGATAATCGTGCCCAGCACCGTGGCTAGTTCACTTTACTGCCTCTCGTGCTTTCAAAAGGTTTCAAGGCCAGGTGGTGCAGCACACTCCCAGCACTTGGGAGGCAGAAACAGGTGGTCCTCTTTCAGAGGACCCGGGTTCAAATCCCAGCACCCACATGGAAGCTCACCGGTCATTCCAAAGGATCCAACATCCTCACACAAATATACATGCAGGTGAAACACCAATTCAGTTTACATGGCATAAAAATAAATATATCTGAGGGCTAAAGAGATGGCTCAGTGGTTAAGAGTTATTCTTGTAGAGAGCTTGGGTTCATCTCACAGCACCCAAATGGCAGCTCACAACTGTCTTTAATTCCAGTTCCAGAGGACCTAACACCATGGCAAAACACCAATGTGCATAAAATAATAAAATTTTTAAAAATTTATATATATTTTTTAAAAAAAACTTAAAAACAAGTAGCAACTTACAGACTTTTTCCCTGCTTAGTAGTTCCAAGACATCCCACTTCTAGGTCATTAAATCTTCCTGTAAGGTGAAGTTCTGGTTCCTCCATGCTTGTCACCCAGGGCAATACATCTTAGGATGAAGGTCCCACTATTGCAATAATTTTGATAAATTTTTTCATCTTTGCCCTGGTCTTGTGATCGTTACAGAATAGTGTGTTCGTGGGCAGAGACCGGGATCCCACAACCACCACTTTCAGGGGTTATCTCCATCTTACTTTATCCTACTTTATTTTGGTTTTTTGAGACAGGGTCTCTTCACAGCCCTGGAACTCCCAGAGATCCGCCTGCCTTGGCCTCCCAAGTGCTGGGACTCGAGGCGTGAGCCACCACTCCTGGCTCTCACTTATAGCACAGATCCTGAGAGAAGTGATTTCTGGGTTTATTTCATCCTGTAAGTGGGTTAGAGTGAACCCGGCAGTGAAGCTGGACTGAGGCCCATATTGAAATACAAGGCACCAGAAGTAAAATGGCCCCGGTTAGGGTTTAGGCACAGAATACTCAGAAGCGGGTGTTGGGAGTGTGAACTCAGATTGTTCTAAGTGGTTTCCACAAAGGGACTTATTTATTTACCCGAAGTCAAGTCCCATATAGCAGTCAGATTGAACTGCCATTTCAGCCCACTACCACTTTGCACGGCTCTCCCAGAAATATTCAGCATTGGCAGGATGTCTCAGATTTGGGGGAGGTAAAATAACCACCCTAACTTCAGTCCACTCTCATATGGCTCTGCAGCGTCACTGAACCCAGCAGTAGAGCCTGGGCTCCTGGGTGACGGGAGAGGTCCTGCCCAGCAGCGCCTGTCGTCGCTGATGGCCTACACCTCACTCCACAGGCTACCTGAGCTCCTGGTCCTGTAGACTGAGATTCAGCTATGACTCCGTACCCCAGCATCTTCTCACGGTCCCTTCAGACGTTCTATTCTCTTCGGGTTTGCTTTGGATTCTCGGATCCTCTGTTGTTTCCTGGTTCTGGGCCACACCTCCGGGTGTGGCTGCTTTGGGCCTTTGGTCGGGTGGATTTTTTCCACTCACACAGCTCTCCTTCCTGATCTTTGGGCCGTCTTCCTGCTCCCGACTTAAGCTGTGGTCCAACTGAAGCAGGCCATTTAGGCTCTAGCCCTGCTTCCAAATTGTCTTCCTGCATCCCCGGAGTGGGATGGGGAGGGATGATACAGGGGCGAGTGACCAAGCCCTCCCACCGTTAGCAATCACGAGGATTGGGTCCCTCTGGGCCCTAGAGTCAGGAAGCCTTTTCAGAGCTGTCGCTAGTCCCATTCTCCCTGGGAGGGGGTCAAGCCTGGCGTTCTGGGACGTCGAGAGAGCGGGCCATCTGCACGCCTTGAATCATTCTCAGGCTTCATCGTCTGACTCTCCCGTCGATCTTACTCCCGGCTCTCACCTGCACTCCTACTCTGATTCAGAGTCAGTTCCGTGTTACTGTATTCCGTGTTCCCGCCAGATACCTTCTAGGAAGGTACGATTCCGCCACTGACTTTTGTCTACTTTTCTCGGTCTCAATCACCTCAGCTTGCTTCCTGTCCCACCCAAAGTAATAAAATAAATCATCTTTTGGAGGGGGGCAACATTTTATTGCTTTATTTTTTTATTGTTGTTGGTGGTGGTTGGTTTCTCTGTAACAGCCCTGGCTGTCCTGGAACTTTCTTTGTAAACCAGGCTGGTCTCGAATTCAGAGATCTGCCTGCCTCTGCCTCCCAACTGCTGGGATTAAAGGCGTGCCTCTGCTGCACAGTTTATTTTTTTTTTTAATAACATTTTTAAACAGCAATTTTTTACAGTGTTTTCGGTCAAATGTTTAACAAATCTTTGATTTGAAAAAACAAACAGCCAGGCGATGGTGGCACACACCTTTACTCCCAGCACTCAAGAGGCAGAGGCAGGAGGATCTCTGTGAGTTCGAGGCCAGCCTGCTGATCTACAAGAGGCAACAAAGCGACACAGAGAAACCCTGTCTCGAAACCCCCCCCCAAAAAAAAGAAAAGAAAAAGAAAAAACAAACAACAACTAAAAGAAACCTGTGAGGATGGTTCTGTAGTCTCCTGAAGGTATGCACTACAATGTCCATCTTGAGTCATTGAAATGGTAGCCCCAAGATGTACATCGTAGTGCATACGTGCAGTCCCAGAGCTGGGGAGGCTGAAGCAGGAAAAGTGGGGTTCAAATCCAATCTGGGCAATGTAGCCCAGACCCTGTCTCAGAAAAAGAAAAGGAAACGCATTTAAGGAAGAAAGATTGTGAAGCTACATCCTGTGTTCTAGATCCTGTTTTCAGACCCATTTCTTGTTCTTACTCCTCCTTTGCTGCGGAGCTGCAGATCTAGGTGGGAAATGACTTGAAGATGCTTAGCAAAGGAGCAGAGGACTGTAGGGGAGCTGCCACCGCACCGCATGCCCTGCTCGGTCTGCTGGCTCTTCCCAATTGTTGCCAGCATGTCTCGCTAGACTTGGGGGAGCTGTGCCTCAGGCCCCAGGTCTTTCAGTTAGTGAGAGCCTTTGCCCTCTGCGTTCCTGCCTGCTTGGCACTCTCCAGCTGATGCTTCAGTTTGACCAGCCCCCCTCGATTTCCTAGACTTTTGCATCTTATCCCAGGCGGCCATGCCTTGGTGTTCTGCGGTCTCTGCCTTATTGGTATTTATAGTGCAAGTTGTATCACACTTCATCCCATAATGAGATCTGCCAACATCTGCTGGGGGACTTGGACCCAGGGCAGTTGTCAGGAGACCATGTACGAGAAGCACTCTATACTTTGTGAGCCATCCAGTCTCTTAGTGCAAAGCAGACTTAGCTCATATGGAAAAGGATGAGCGTGGCCGCGTTCCAGTGGAACTCTATAAATGAATCTTGGAACTGCAATTTCATAGTGTTCATAAAATATTTTGATTTCCTTCCCCCAGTCATTTTAAATGCAAAAAATTAAATAAATAAAAGTAAAAAATGTAAATGGGGACCAGAGGAAAACAAGTGGTAAACGACGCTGGCCTGTGGGCCACAGCTTGCCTGTCCCGGTCTAGGGTGCATAAAGTACGAATATAAAAATGACAGGTGAGGGGGGCTGGAGAGATGGCTCAGAGGTTAAGAGCATCGCCTGCTCTTCCAAAGGTCCTGAGTTCAATTCCCAGCAACCACATGGTGGCTTACAACCGTCTGTAATGGGGTCTGGTGCCCTCTTCTGGCCTGCAGGCACACACACAGACAGAATATTGTATACATAATAAATAAATAAATATTTTTAAAAATGACAGGTGATTAATTGTTCATGCCAAAAGAGTATGAGGCCAGGGAACCCAGGCTTGACCACATTCTGATGCAAAAATGAATTTACCCTGCCCATCACTGAAAATGATATTAAACAAGCCGCCGTCCACATTATTCTTGTGATTTTTCTCAGAACCTCTTTGGCAGTGCTGACGATGCTGTCCAACTCCAGTGAGTAGTGAGAGTCCGGCTCAGTCATTCTGAAAATGTCACCGTGAGCAGCCCTGAGCACGTTCATGTCATCATCGCTTATTAGACGTTGTACTGTATGGTTATTAAGAAATAAAGCTGTGTTACTCCCAGCACTCCGGAGGCAGAGGCAGGGGGATCTCTGTGAGTTCGAAGCCAGCCTGGTCTACAGAGTGAGTCCCAGGACAGCCAGGACTGATACACAGAGAACCTTTCTCGAAATACTAAAAAACGGAATTCCTGTGTATGGGTACTTGTGACCAGCGCTGGGGTGTGTTCTTTTAGGTGAATCTTTTTATTTATCCTACACAGATCTTTACTCTCTTGTCCTCATTGGAACGGCTTTCCCAGGGCTTTGGTAGAATTTCAGATGGAGCAGACCTTTACAAGACTGCTTGATCAGTGTTTCCCAGGAACTGGTAGTGACCAAACCCTACTGCAGCCGTCTGAAAGAAGATTCTGTGTTAGTTCACTCAACAGATATGTTTACTGCGTAGCTACCGTGCCAGGTACCATCCTGTGAGCTGGAATAGAGCAACGGACAAAAAAAGAAAAGAAAAAAGCCTTGAGTTTGGCCCCTGAAATCTGATTGTGTTACTCCCCACTGCTGAAGACTGCGGTCACGTGTGCTCACACTAACTCACTATTAACGGCAGACCTGGAGATAGGAATGACCTTTGCCATAGGTCTCTGAGCCAGAAGTCACTGTGCCTCTCCAGCGTCATTAGGAACCCACAGACTGTATGTTCCACTTAAATTTTATTATCCTTTTGCACAGATCCATATTGGTAGAAAAAAACACACTGGCAATGTTGGAAGTGTAAATTGGCAACAGCTTTCTGTAAGGCAGTTTGGCACTATCTGTGGGGAGCTTTGCAAATGTTTGTATCCCCCGATCCTCCAAGTCCACTTCTGGGAATCTGTCCTAAGGAAATAGTCTAAAATATGGGCAAAATTTATGCCTAATAATCTGAAAGTCTAATGGTAGAAATCGGTTAAATAGATTGTAGTCTGACTATAATAGGCTGATAGTATGCAGTCGTGCTAACAGTGAACACTTAGCAGCAGACTGGAAAAGCTTGTGATGTTTTAAAAGAAATAAAGACGTCTATGCATACATCCAAAAAGATTCAAATGCCTAGAAAGGATTTGTTAACTTTTGAGTTGTTGAACCTTAATTTTTCTTGATTTATATGCCTTTAAAAGATATTTC